TGCCGCACATTTGTCTAATTCCTCATCTTGTCAGTATGGTATGCCATTACTCTAACTTCTACCCAGTGCTTCCTCATAAAATGCGAGCACCAACAGTTTAACTGGTCAGGGGCTGGGCCACTTAACGGACGGAATATCGAGCCTCCACCACTGCTTAGGCTGAATGGCCCACATGGGTTTAGCGCTAAATGGAAAATAGATCAAATGAGTTCCTGGAACGTGCTTCCAACAACCTACCTCCACCACTCTAGCCGATCCTCTCAGAGTCAACCCATTAGTCGCACCTCCAACAACCTACCTCCACCATTAGCTGATCCTCTCAGAGTCAACCCATTAGTCGCACCTCCAACAACCTACCTCCACCATTAGCTGATCCTCTCAGAGTCTTATACACAACCCTCCCTTCTCTTGTTAGCCCAGGAGCAGGATTGACTTGCTTTAAACCCATGCTGCCCTGGATTGTGCAATTATTGCGATCCCATGTGATTGTCAGTCTTTCTTCTTAGGGCCTATTCGGAGATTTTGATGTGTGAAGTAGCGCTATTGGCCTATGATTTTTAATGACTAGGATGACACTTGTGTCCAGACTCCCTTGCCATAGAACACTGAAGGCCAGAGATAATGGCTTGTTCCATTTTTTTGTGAATATGGAGTTTCACGAGTCTGGGCCTGGGACAGAATGCATGAGAATGTAATCAATAGAAGAATGATACACTCGTGCAACATTTGGGAATCTTTGTTGAGGAAACGTTTCGTCAGCCAGTGGATGGCGAAACGTTTGGAGTCTGGAGTAATCAGTCCTTGAGGGACCGATTACTCCAAACTCCTCTTCTTCCACCGGTTTCCTTTGTATTGAACTGATGAAGCCACTGGCTGGCGAAACTTTCCTCAATAAAGAGATTCCCAAATGTTGCACGAGTGTATCATTCTTCAACTTGTGAGGTTTCTAGATCATTTATCACGTGTAATCAATGGCTGCAAAATCAACTTAGGATACGTCAGACATCGTGAAGATGTGGGATGTGCTTTGAGTCTCACTCATAAAAACTCAGAAGAATCTCATGTGTATGGAGTGATGAATGGGTTTGTAGATGAATGGTTTACTGGACACAGTCAGTGACTTGAGCTTACGCACATGTGGCATATCTTAAGGTAAGCATTATTTACAAACACTGGTTTAGCGTTAGTAAATGAGGTGTTGAGGTGGTGGTAGGCTTGTGTGTGTGCACGCACCTATATGTGGTTGCACGGGTCGATTCACAGCTCCTGGTCCCACAGTATGTGTGTGTGTGCCCACCTTAATTGTGATTGCAGGGGTTGAGTCATAGCTCCTGGCTTCTCCTCTTCACTGGTTGCTACTAGGTCTACTCTCTCCCTATTCCATGAGCTTGATCATACCTCTTCTTAAAACTATGTATGGGTCCTGCCTCCACTACGTCACTTTCCAGATTGTTCCACTTCCAGACAACTCTATGGCTGAAGAAGTACTTCTTAACATCCATGCGACTAATCTGAGTTTTCATCTTTCAGTTGTGACCCCTTGTTGCTGTGTCCCATCTCTGAAACATTCTGTCCCTATCCACGTTGTCCATTGCTCTCAGTATTTTATATGTTGTTATCATGTACCCACCCCCATGCCTCTTGTCCTCCACAGTGTTGTCAGGTTGAGCTCCCCTAACCTCTCCTCCTAGGACAAACTCATCAGCTCCGGGATTAGTGTTGTTGTAAACCTTTGCACTTTTTCTAATTTCTTGACGTGTTTGACCAGGTGTGGGTTCCATACTAGTGCTGCATACTCCAATATGGGCCTGACGTACATGGTGTACATTGTCGTGAATGACTCCTTACTTAGATGTCGAAACGCTATTCTCAGGTTTGCCAGGCGCCTATATGCTGCAGCAGTTATTTGGTTGATGTGCGCTTCAGGAGATGTGCTCGGTATCATGCTCACCCCAAGATCCTTTTCTCCTTAAGTGAGTTTTGCAGCCCTTCTGGTCTCTTAGGCTGTACTACGTCTGTGTGTACTCACCTAGTTGTGTGTGTGTGTGTGTTGTGGTGGTGTGGTGTGTGTGTGTGTGTGTGTGTGTGTGTGGTGTGTTTGTGTTGTGTGTTGTGTGTGTGTGTGTACTCACCTAGTTGTGGTTGCAGGGGTCGATTTATAGCTCCTGGCCCTCCTGTGTGTACTCACCTAGTTGTACTCACCTAGTTGAGGTTGCGGGGGTCGAGTCCGAGCTCCTGGCCCCGCCTCTTCACTGATCGCTACTAGGTCACTCTCCCTGAGCCGTGAGCTTTATCATACCTCTGCTTAAAGCTATGTATGGATCCTGCCTCCACTACATCGCTTCCCAAACTATTCCACTTACTGACTACTCTGTGGCTGAAGAAATACTTCCTAACATCCCTGTGATTCATCTGTGTCTTCAGCTTCCAACTGTGTCCCCTTGTTACTGTGTCCAATCTCTGGAACATCCTGTCTTTGTCCACCTTGTCAATTCCTCTCAGTATTTTGTATGTCGTTATCATGTCCCCCCTATCTCTCCTGTCCTCCAGTGTCGTCAGGTTGATTTCCCTTAACCTCTCCTCGTAGGACATACCTCTTAGCTCTGGGACTAGTCTTGTTGCAAACCTTTGCACTTTCTCTAGTTTCTTCACGTGCTTGGCTAGGTGTGGGTTCCAAACTGGTGCCGCATACTCCAATATGGGCCTAACGTACACGGTGAACAGGGTCCTGAATGATTCCTTATATTAAGATGTCGGAATGCTGTTCTGAGGTTTGCTAGGCGCCCATATGCTGCAGCAGTTATTTGGTTGATGTGCGCTTCAGGAGATGTGCCTGGTGTTATACTCACCCCAAGATCTTTTTCCTTGAGTGAGGTTTGTAGTCTCTGACCCCCTAGACTGTACTCCGTCTGCGGCCTTCTTTGCCCTTCCCCAATCTTCATGACTTTGCACTTGGTGGGATTGAACTCCAGGAGCCAATTGCTGGACCAGGTCTGCAGCCTGTCCAGATCCCTTTGTAGTTCTGCCTGGTCTTCGATCGAGTGAATTCTTTTCATCAACTTCACGTCATCTGCAAACAGGGACACCTCAGAGTCTATTCCTTCCGTCATGTCGTTCACAAATACCAGAAACAGCACTGGTCCTAGGACTGACCCCTGCGGGACCCCGCTGGTCACAGGTGCCCACTCTGACACCTCGCCACGTACCATGACTCGCTGCTGTCTTCCTGACAAGTATTCCCTGATCCATTGTAGTGCCTTCCCTGTTATCCCTGCTTGGTCCTCCAGTTTTTGCACCAATCTCTTGTGTGGAACTGTGTCAAACGCCTTCTTGCAGTCCAAGAAAATGCAATCCACCCACCCCTCTCTCTCTTGTCTTACTGCTGTCACCATGTCATAGAACTCCAGTAGGTTTGTGTGTGTGTGTGTGTGTGTGTGTGTGTGTACTCACCTAGTTGAGGTTGCGGGGGTCGAGTCCGAGCTCCTGGCCCCGCCTCTTCACTGATCGCTACTAGGTCACTCTCCCTGAGCCGTGAGCTTTATCATACCTCTGCTTAAAGCTATGTATGGATCCTGCCTCCACTACATCGCTTCCCAAACTATTCCACTTACTGACTACTCTGTGGCTGAAGAAATACTTCCTAACATCCCTGTGATTCATCTGTGTCTTCAGCTTCCAACTGTGTCCCCTTGTTACTGTGTCCAATCTCTGGAACATCCTGTCTTTGTCCACCTTGTCAATTCCTCTCAGTATTTTGTATGTCGTTATCATGTCCCCCCTATCTCTCCTGTCCTCCAGTGTCGTCAGGTTGATTTCCCTTAACCTCTCCTCCTGTGTGTGTGTGTGTGTGTACTCACCTAATTGTACTCACCTAATTGTGGTTGCAGGGGTCGAGACTCAGCTCCTGGCCCCGCCTCTTCACTGATCGCTACTGGATCCTTCTCTCTCTGCTTCCTGAGCTTTGTCATACCTCTTCTTAAAACTATGTATGGTTCCTGCCTCCACTACTTCACTTGCTAGGCTATTCCACTTGCTGACAACTCTATGACTGAAGAAATACTTCCTAACGTCCCTGTGACTCGTCTGAGTCTTCAGCTTCCAGTTGTGACCCCTTGTCCCTGTGTCCCCTCTCTGGAACATCCTATCTCTGTCCACCTTGTCTATTCCCCGCAGTATCTTGTATGTCGTTATCATGTCTCCCCTGACCCTTCTGTCCTCCAGTGTCGTCAGTCCGATTTCCCTTAACCTTTCCTCGTACGACATTCCCTTGAGCTCTGGGACTAGCCTTGTTGCAAACCTTTGTACTTTCTCTAACTTCTTGACGTGCTTGACCAGGTGTGGGTTCCAGACTGGTGCTGCATACTCCAGTATGGGCCTAACATACACTGTGTACAGTGTCTTGAACGATTCCTGTGTGTGTGTGTGTGTGTGTGTGTGTGTGTATGTGTGTGTGAGAGAGAGGAGGGACCTGAGGATGATAGTCATTGAGATGGTGGTAGGCTGGTGTGTACCAGGGATCAGTGAGGAAGCTGAGGATGATAGTTGTTGAGGTGGTGGTAGGCTGGTGTGTACCAGGATCAGTGAGGAAGCTGAGGATGATATTGTTGAGGTGGTGGTAGGCTGGTGTGTACCAGGGATCAGTGAGGAAGCTGTGGATGATAGTTGTTGAGATGGTGGTAGGCTGGTGTGTACCAGGGATCAGTGAGGAAGCTGAGGATGATAGTTGTTGAGGTGGTGGTAGGCTGGTGTGTACCAGGAATCAGTGAGGAAGCTGAGGATGATAGTTGTTGAGGTGGTGGTAGGCTGGTGTGTACCAGGGATCAGTGAGGAAGCTGAGGATGATAGTTGTTGAGGTGGTGGTAGGCTGTGCAAGGGGAGGTACACAGCGACCACTATCCCGTGCACGTCACCAGCTCTCACATTCTCTGTAATAGGGAAGAACTTGTAAGTCGTAGTCACTTATCTTTTTCTGGCACACTGTACGGTGCTCAGGTAGTGTTGTTGGGTTGCCCGTGGATGGTTGGTTGTCTTTGATGGTACAAGGATCATTCATGGCTGACTGCTGACTTATGGGTGAGTGGACCTGCTGCGGCGTCGCGTGTGGCGGAAGTTTAAATGTCAGGCGGCCAATGCTCTTGTTTTTATTTACTTTAATTAATGATTTGCTAGCATGAAATTTCGTACATGTGGAATAAGTCTTTCAGGATGCCTGAAGGTGATTGACTCACCATCTGAACTTGAATTTGCTCTGGTGTTGCAATCTGGTGACTTGAGACCTAACCATGTCTGCAGACACCCTCATAGGCTGGGAATGTGCTTTTACGAAACCATAAGAGTTAGCTTGTATTCACAGTCACATCTGTTCTTGCTACAGTTCCTCTGTACCTGCCTTTTCTCTTTTGTTTGTTGAATACCTTTCATGTGTGGGAGTTGTTTCAGCATCACAAGAGAAGCTACGGGATGCTAATATACCTTAATTACACATGCGGAGGGAATGTTATGCCTGGAGGATTTATGAATGGCTGGGGAGGGAACGTATCAGGGAACTACCAACAGTGTGCGTGCCATTATCTCTGTGTTTATGTACTTCATTGTATGTATTTTTCTTCTTTCCAAGTTGCAGTTATCCACATTTATTCACGTTTTGTCTATCGACTTCTGTGCGGGGGATTTGCAAGTACCAGCAATAACGTTAATCAAATGCATAATGTTGCAGGGCTCGGGGAGGCATTAGTGTTCTCGTTATCAGCAAGAATATTCATCACAGTGATTCCACATTAACTTCTGCTGACACAAGTCAAGTCATGGATGAATGGTACCCAAGCGGACATGGCGGAAATACCAAAAAAAAAAAAAGTGGAACAAAGGGAATTCTAAAGTCGGAGGTGTCATACAGTGCCTGGATAACGTAGAAAGGGGGGGGGGGGAACCTCAGTTTCTTGGATGAAGAGCGCTCACCAACATCTAGGCAACTTCTCTTGAAACAAAAAATATAGGACTGCTACTCGGCGTTGTACAAATTAAAAAAAAAATAACTAAACGAAACGAAATCCATTTAACGTTTCTCCAGCCAAAAGTCCTGGAGCGTCTTTGTCCACACTGGGCTGGAGTGTAACACGACTCACTATTAAGTAATGATTGCCTCACACATGCTGCACTAACAAAATTAATGTACTACTTTCGTTAAAATATCTCAAAATAAGAATTACTTATTCTAGGTTGTACATCGGAAGATGCAAACTAATGCGTGGGCTCCCTCACGTTGTGGTGGCAGACTTTAACCCAGACTAACACCAGTTAGTTACACCTGATTAATATTGTGCAATTACATATGCCTTATTGTATATAATATCCTATTATTCATAACAAAACACCTGTTTTATTGTATATACGTGTTTTATTTTGTATGGCAAATAAGTGCTTCTGTATTCCAAACATGTTTTGTGTTGTGTGAGGAACGTGTCTCGCTACCAGTGGACGGAACATCCAGCCTCCACAACTCTAGTGAATGACCCACACAAATTTATTGTTTCGTATAATCAGTTATACTAATGAATAATTCTTTCTTTGTGACAGATGCGAAGGGACGTGACTAAAACCAGCAGCAGACTGAATGGACCAATATCACACACACTGCCGGGCAGCACGTGAGCCTTCAGCCCTCTCTCCACACACCCCAGCCCTCTCCACCCACACAGTTTGCATTTTCACCTCTCCAAGGGATCCCTGCTTCATCAACAGCTGCACCAGCAGCACCAACAGCTGTAGCAGTAGCAGCAACAGCTGCACCAGTAGCAGAACCAACAATTGCAGTAGTAGCAGCACCTTCATTGCAGCAAGTGCTGCAGCAGCAGGCAGGCCTGGACTATTTCTCGGTGATGAGGGAACCTTGCTTGCGTCTGTAAAAAAACAAGATTTTTTTTTCTTAGTGTTGCCAGATCACTGGGACCAAAATATTGGCGACAGTAGGCTGGCGTCCACTGTCAGCCACCAGGCTGGCGTCCACTGTCAGCCACCAGGCTGGCGTCCACTGTCAGCCACCAGGCTGACATAGAAGTGCTGCGCTGGCGTGTGTTTATTGCCCCCCAGTCCCCCATACCACCCCTGGGTGATTGCATTAAGTACTCTCAGGAATTCAGTCAGTGTGTCTCATCGTATGGGCCATTGACTGACTGTCCTCAAGTCAATGCTTATTGAACATTCCCAGTTTTAAAAACAAAATGTGAAGGTGTTACAAATATGCAAAAGGCTGAAATAATGTTAGGTTGTCAGGAAGTGCAGAAAGACACAGTAACCCCCGCCAATGTACCCAGCTGATGTTGTTGTTGTTCCTGCACTTTTTATGTTAGTTACAATGGTCGTTGTGGACACACTCGACCTGTCATCTCTCTTGTATGTTCCTCTACTTTATTAGTTTAGCTTCTTGAAGCTCCTTTACATTTGTGTGGCCACGGTGATCTTGGAGTTCCCGCACTGATCCTGTGTGTGTGTGTGTGTGTGTGTGTGTGTGTGTGTGTGTGTGTGTGTGTGTGTGTGTGTGTTGTAACTCAGCAGCGCAGCTGACGTGTTAATTTGGAAACATTTCGCTAACAAATGTACTCACCAAGCTGTGTTTGTGGGGGCCGAGTCACAGCCTCTCACTGTATGCTTGGTATTAAAATTCAGGTAATAGAATGTTGGGTAAAATTCGTCTCCATCCTCGCCAGTCCCCTTCTCCCAGACGTCTGCCGGTCCCCTTATCCCAGACGTCTGCCGGTCCCCTTATCCCAGACGTCTGCCAGTCCCCTTCTCCCAGACGTCTGCCAGTCCCCTTCTCCCAGACGTCTGCCGGTCCCCTTATCCCAGACGTCTGCCAGTCCCCTTATCCCAGACGTCTGCCAGTCTCCCCTCCTTTCCTCTTCACTAACCATCTGCCAATCCTCGCCTCCATCTGCCCCTTCCTGGCTACTCAGCAACACATGGCCCACAACTGTCTGCTGCTTCTGTCAGCCACAACACTACACCTGGCCAGGTGACACCTATTTCTGGCCACTCTTGGACACTTTGAATTCTCCCTAAAACAATACCCGCGTGTTCACTACAACGCCTTCGTGCTCACTACAACACCTGCATGCTCACTACAACACCTTCGTGCGCAGTACAACACCTGCGTGATCACTACAACACCTGCGTGATCACTACAACACCTGCGTGATCACTACAACACCTGCATGCTCACTACAGCACCTGCGTGCGCAGTAGTGCAACACCTGCGTGCTCACTACAACATCGGCGTGCTCACCACAACACTTACATGCTCACCACAACACTTACATGCTCACCACAACACCTGCAACACTTGATGCATCTTTTGTTATTCTTCCAACACACTATTACCATAATACATGTTTTGTTATTCAACCACACGGGAAACTGTTAGGTTTTTTAGGGGGGACAAAGGCGTCAGTATCCACTCTCGTCACCACGATACACAAAATTAGTCTTTTATTTTTCTTGATATCTTTACAAGCATTAGCACTGGTCGACGTTGCCCAGCGGTGAGAGTAGCGACTCTCATTGCTGAGGTCCAGGTAATAAACCCTGGGCATTAACATAACATTTACAAGCATTGTAAGACTTTTTTTTAATTCTGTGTAAAACCTTAGTAGGTACCTGGCTGACTTCTCCAGGTAGATAATCTTTTGATGGATTAATATCTGCTTGACTGTGTTGTGTCATGACTGGTGTTGGTACTGATGTCTGTGACACGCTTCTAGTGACTGTGTTGTGTCATGACTGGTGTTGGTACTGATGTCTGTGACACGCTTCTAGTGACTGTGTTGTGTCATGACTGGTGTTGGTACTGATGCCTGTGACACGCTTCTAGTGACTGTGTTGTGTCATGACTGGTGTTGGTACTGATGTCTGTGACACACTTCTAGTGACTGTTGTGTCATGACTGGTGTTGATACTGATGTCTGTGACACACTTCTAGTGACTGTTGTGTCATGACTGGTGGTTGTACTGATGCTTCTGTCACTGCTAGTGACTGTCGTAATATGACAGTCATTAGGTGTGTGTTTGCCTCTAGGCGACAACAGGTAGCAGGTGACCTGCCTCTCCTTTTTCCCCTACACCCAGGATTCGAAACCTGGATGTATGTGGTTGTGAGCCGAACGCTGTAAAGTCAAGAGCTACGAGACACGGGTTGCTTGCTGCCTACTGACAACATATGGGCACCTTCTGCTTCCTTCACCCACCACATACAACATATGGGAACTTGCTTTTTCTTATCCCTCACTGTACGACACATGGGGGACTAATAAACCATTCTGGAAGCTAGAGGCAGGAGGCCATATGGTTGCCAACTGGCGGGTTGGAGGTGGTGGTGGTGGTGACGGTGGTAGTAGTAGTGACGGTGGTGGTGACGGTGGTAGTGGTAGTGACGGTGGTGGTGACGGTGGTAGTGGTAGTGACGGTGGTGGTGGAGGTGATGAAGGTGGTGTGGACAGCCCAGAAGGTTCACACTGCGTGAGGTACCTAAACTCCGTTGTTGTTAATTTGTTATGTAAAAATCAGCTGTCGCGGGCCATAATCAGCTGTCGCGGACCATAATCAGCTGTCGCAGGATGTAATCAGCTGTCGTGGGTTGTAATCAGCTGTCGCGGGATGTAATCAGCTGTCGCGGGTCGTAATCAGCTGTCGCGGGATGTAATCAGATGTTACGGATCATAACCAGATACTGACTCTTAATGACTCAGTAAGAGTATCATGAAAAACTATATCAGTGCTTAAATATTTGTGACCTTGACTCAAGGTGTGTGTGTGTGTGTGTGTGTGTGTGTGTGTGTGTGTGTGTGTGTGTGTGTGTGTGTGTGTGTGTGGGTTAGAGAGAAACATGCAGTTACTAGAAGGAGGAGGGAAGGGAGTGACCCCTTCACGATAGTGAAGGGGAAACAGAACCTCCCTAACATATCCCCAGATGTACGACTCCTACGGGTTTAACTCTTCCCCTTGAGTGCACTCCAAGAACACTGCCTCCCAAGGTAACACTTACTTATTATTACACCAAAGAACATTTTCTCTAATATATATATTTTTTCTGTATTTAGATATAAAAAATTGCATTGTAAGATATTATTGTGTGGTATCATATAAATGCAATGTGTATATAATGTTTATTTTAAGGTCAGTGTTGAGAGAGTGATGGAGGCTCTGTTGTCACCCAGCCGTTCCTCATGCCGTTCACACGTTCCTCATGCTGTTCACACGTTCCTCATACCATACACACTGCCCTCATACCGTACACACTACCCTCATAAAGTACACACTGCCCTCATACCGTACACACTACCCTCATAAAGTACACACTGCCCTCATACCATACACTGCCTTCATACCGTACACACTACCCTCATAAAGTACACACTGCCCTCATACCGTATACACTGCCTTCATACCGTACACACTACCCTCATAAAGTACACACTACCCTCATACCGTATACACTGCCCTCATAAAGTACACACTACCCTCATAAAGTACACACTACCCTCATAAAGTACACACTACCCTCATACCGTACACACTGCCCTCATACCATACACTGCCCTCATACCGTACACACTACCCTCATACCGTACACACTATCCTCATACCGTACACACTGCCCTCATACCATACACTGCCCTCATACCGCACACACTACCTTCATACCGTACACACTACCCTCATACCGTATACACTGCCCTCATACCATACACTGCCCTCATACCGTACACACTACCCTCATAAAGTACACACTACCCTCATACCATACACTGCCCTCATACCGTACACACTACCCTCATAAAGTACACACTACCCTCATACCATACACTGCCCTCATACCGTACACACTACCCTCATAAAGTACACACTACCCTCATACCATACACTGCCCTCATACCGTACACTCTACCCTCATACCGTATACACTGCCCTCATACCATACACTGCCCTCATACCGTACACACTACCCTCATAAAGTACACACTACCCTCATACCGTACACATTGCCCTCATACCATACACTGCCCTCATACCGTACACACTACCCTCATAAAGTACACACTGCCCTCATACCATACACTGCCCTCATACCGTACACACTACCCTCAAAGTACACACTACCCTCATACCATACACTACCCTCATACCATACACTGCCCTCATACCATAAACACTGCCCTCATACAGTACACACTGCCCTCATACCGTGTACACTGCCATCATACCATACACACTGCCCTCATACCATACACGCTGCCCTCATACCGTACACACACTGCCATCACACCATGCACACTGCCCTCATACCATACACGCTGCCCTCATACCATGCACACTGCCCTCATACCGTTCACACTGCCATCATACCATACACACTGCCCTCATACCATACACACTGCCATCATACCATACACACTGCCCTCATACCATACACTGCCATACCATACACACTGCCCTCATACCATACACACTGCCCTCATACCATACACACTGCCCTCATACCCTACACACTGCCCTCATACCGTGCACACTGCCCTCATACAATACACACTGCCATCATACCATACACACTGCCCTCATACCATACACACTGCCATCATACCATACACACTGCCCTCATACTATACACACTGCCCTCATACCATACACACTGCCCTCATACCGTGCACACTGCCCTCATACCATACACACTGCCCTCATACCATACACACTGCCCTCATACCATACACACTGCCCTCATACCGTGCACACTGCCCTCATACCATACACACTGCCCTCATACCATACACACTGCCATCATACCATACCCACTGCCTTCATATCATACACACTGCCATCATACAGTAATTTGGTTACTTGCGGTTAATTAATGTTATGTTTATGAACACTTAAGTTAACCTGAGATAACTTACATAAACATTGCTTAGATCACGCTAAAACTGAGGCGCTTTAATCTGTTAGGAAACAAACGGTGAGGTTTGAGGTGGGTTCCTTTAACAGTGTGAATGTTGTGGCATCACTGTTAACAGTGTGGATGTTGTGGCATCACTGTTAACTGTGGATGTTGTGGCATCACTGTTAACAGTGTGGATGTTGTGGCATCACTGTTAACAGTGTGGATGTTGTGGCATCACTGTTAACAGTGTGGATGTTGTGGCATCACTGTTAACAGTGTGAATGTTGTGGCATCACTGTTGTTAACAGTATGAGTGTTGTGGCAACACTGTTGTTAACAGTATAAATGTTGTGGCAACACTGTCGTGGTTACCACCCACATGTTATTTGTAGGTGTTGAGTAACGTCACAGCTGGCAGCCATGTGACACCTGTGAACAGTAACGTCATTGTTTCACCAAAGTAACGTCACTGTAACACTGAAGTAACATCAGTGTTACACCAAAGTAACGTCACTGTAACACTGAAGTAACATCAGTGTTACACCAAAGTAACGTCACTGGAACACTGAAGTTACATCACTAAGTCTTGCAAACTTAAGTCTCCCCTATGAACTTATTTTCCTCTACCACAATTCAACATCTTCACTCAATCAGCGTGACTTGCAAAATAAAATAAAACGTACAGTTTTTAGTATTAATTTTTATAACTCAGAAGACTATAATGAAAACCATTTGTGGCATTTTTACAAGTTAAATTTCACATAATCAAATTGTTCGATACTAGAAATTTTAAAAATAATCTTCAAAGACTGGTAAGTACACGCTATGTGAACAAGACAATTTCCCCATGGAAAATTGGTTCATTGGGCAACACTGGTGCCTATAAATTATAGTATTACTTTTAGGTATTACCCGTGCACTGTGTTATTATCCTAGATATTACCTGTGCACTGTGCTAGTCCACGTAAGTTTGAGATGTTCACACATATAGTGAGGGAAGCGTCGTCTCGCTGGACGAATATTGTTACTAGAACACCCTGGCCAGTTCTACTCTCACCCATATATATATATATATGGGTGTGCTGTACATGCATACGCTGAAATATTTCGAAGCAGAGCTGGCCAGAGTTCGCTTTCAGTTCTCGCTAAGCAGTAGTGTTAAGTGCACTCATATGGCAGAAATAAAATCAGTAGAATAAGTTATATATATTGATTCGATTTATAAATGTTTCACTTCCGCTATTTTACAAATCTCTCTTTTAGAACAAATGTTTAATAAATTGTGTTTATTTAAAAAAATATATATTGATTCTTTTATACAAATCCTTTGTGTGTGAGTGAGGAATTGTGAGTATTGTGTGTCAAATTATGGGTGATAACCCCAGGAGAGGCTTGTTAAACTGATCATGGGGAGACCCATGACCACTGATCATGGGAGACCCATGACCACTGATTATGGGGAGACCCATGAACACTGATCATGGGGAGACCCATGATCAAGAGCCGTTCAACGTTAAGGCATCTTCCTGAGACCCACCAGGCTGAGAGTGGGTACACAAGACTACAACAGTGTCTCCATTGTTGTAGTCATCTGTATTCGACTGAGATATGTAACACTTATAGGACTGTAGAAGCATTTCCTCTGATGCTTAGCACTCCTAGGACTGCAGAAGTAGTTCCGAGATAGCACTCTTAGGGTAGAGAAAAACCCGCAGCAAGTTCCATATTTCACCAATTTCCAGTGATCCTGACAACACTGCTAGACTTCTCCAAGAGGCCAACCTCAGTGTCACCACCATCACGTCTACCACTACCACAGACATCACCTGAGCCTACGACGGCGGCTTCAACTACACAGGTAAACCTGGAACTGACACCATTTACTGTGGTGACTGCGACAAGGTTTATGGTGGTGAAACAGCCTGATGGTTGGACACACACTGGCGAGCAACCAACACTTTGAAAGGGTATGTCAATCACCGTAACACACGCTTCCGCCTCATGAAATAAGCTGAGGCCAAACTAGTTACTTCGGCAGACAAATGGCAGTGCTTAGATTCAACGCGACTTAGTACGACGAATACCATCACACAGAATATGGGCAGCTGTGATACACTGATTCTCTCGCCTAACTTCTCCATCATCTGCGTGACCTGACGTAAAGTTTCACCTCGCCTTCACCTGCACTGCTGCTATATGGACTGCATGTTTTTTTCCAAGCATTGGTCATAAGGTTTGATAAAGCTTGTTGTCCAAGCGAGAGATCATCTGTTACTAGAGTCCATAATCTGTTTAAGTGTGGTGTTGTAGCAGAAGAGGTGATAACAATATTCTTCTTTCAATGGAACAATGTAGGCGGCTAGTAATGCTAGTTTTAGAGACCTTGCTAACACACGTAACTGGTTGAGTGTCAGGTGTGTGTGTGGTGTAACAGGTGTAGCGGAAGCAGTCAATAACAGTGAGGGCGGAGAGGTGATAATTACCTGGACACACCAGCACACTTCCCTGCACTCCTCTATAACACTGACCACCACAACATCTATTTAATAACTTCAGTGTATTATATTCAACATAGTAATACACACATTTTATGATATGTCAGTATTTTATATGCAGGGTGGACCGGAAGACCTCGGTCCCAGGACCAAAAACACCACTGGTCGGATTATCATACGACAGGGGACGGTTGTCCCTGACTATTATAATACCCTGCCTTCTAGGTGCTGAGCTGTGCTTCCCTGTGTGCACATCCCTCTCAAAGGGTGGGAAGAAATGCAGTGTGTCGACACTTGCTGAAAAAACATAAATGCAGAGGACGTCCTCATTTGTACGTTTCATCTAACATATGTACTTGAAGAGACCAGTTTCATAAATCAAGGAGTGCACTGCATTTGCGGGAAGTAGTGTACCGTCAGACCACAGCGCATGTATACTGAAGCTGCCGTAGCTTCTGAATGCACAGCGGAATGCTTGATGATGCAAATAAAACACACTGCGAACTATGATATGTTTATTGTGAAGGCGTCTTGTCAGTCAGAGACCATCAATTCACACAACGGACAAGACCGGGGTTGTGTGAACAGATAAGGACCCAGCTGGGGCGAAACGTCTTCGCCATAAAATACCATAATCCGCAATGTTTGTGTGACTGTATTATTTACTTACTGTCTGTATACTCTGCCATTGTATTACCAGACTTGATGATATCCTCATCGCTATATTGAAGTCCTCCAACTCAGGCAGACACGGTGTATTAAATATGCACGATCCTTTCCGGTGTACACAACCATTCTAATGTACACATTCCACTATGATGTACAAAACACGTTGGCTTAACTGGTATTCTTATCATCAACGTCCAACATCAGAATCTGCAGTGATAGAAGTTTTCACTGCATTAAGAGGCAGTGTCCTTCAGCTGAGTGATTCGTATATAATCAAATTTAGTGATGAACAGAGTTGGTATAAACCTTGGTAATAAATACCGACAAGTTGGTTTAGAAAGACACGTAAGCAAATACTATGACGTATTAGAAAACGTTTCGGTCCTGGGACCTTGATCACTTCTAACATACAGAGGTAGAAAGACATTATATATATAGGCGAAGAGCGAGGTGTGAGTGATTTAAGGTACGCCGGTGTCCTCCACAGACTCCACGGGCATTTGATGAACTTGGATGAGGCACAACTCGTTCTCACCGAACCAGACCTCAGACGCCGACGGTGCCTAGAAACCTCACTAATCGAAGTCACCGACACAATAGAATGTAACACTAGAAACCACAAAATTTAAAAAAACATTAGCATACATAATACTTAAGCAGGCTAAGTACCACCAACCCAACAACACAGGAGTCACACGATCTTATCGTCTACCCTTCCTCATCCCAACATGGCATTCTTCAGGTCACCATGCGTCACTCACACCTCACTTTCCGCCTATATATAATGTCTTTCTACCTCTGTATGTTAGAATGCTGGGCCACCACTTGGAAGGACCCGGGCCGGGAGAATACCGGCGAATCTTTAACAACTGTATGTTAGAAGTGATCAAGGTCCCAGGACCGAAACATTTTCTAATGTCATAGTGTTTGCTTACGTGTCTTTCTAAATGAACAGAGTTAATCAGACAGCTACATATGGGTCGCCTGTTGTAGTGATCACGCTCTCAAGGCCATATGCTGTAGTGGCTACACTCTCAAAGTCATCTATTGCAGTGACCACATTGTTAGGGTCTTCTGTTGCAGTGACTACACTGTCAAAGTCTTATGCTGTAGTGGTTACACTGTCATAGTCATCTGTTGCAATGACCACACTTAGGGGCTTGTCTGTTCCAGTCACCACACTGTTAAGAGTCGTCCTTTTCAGTGATTACACTGTCAAGGTCATTTGCTGCAGTGGCATAATACGACCGTAATAAAGTCACTGGAGGGCGAAACGTCTACAAAATAAAGATACCCAGATGTTGCACATGTGTTCTAAGTCATCAACTTGTCGGTACTGTGTACCATATCTTTGTAGCGGAGAACGTTTCGCCAACCACTGGCTTTATCAGTCTAATACAAAGGATAGTACAACAGACGGTGGAAGACATGAAGTAGTTTGAGGTGATCAGTCCTTTTTAGCCTCGAATGGTGTTTCGTCCAATAGTCTTGATGAATCTGCCGCAGTTGTCTCTGCGTCGCTAACAGACGCTCAGCAGTGACTTGATACACAGTAACGTGTGAAGACACTTGACGGAATGGTAAGAAGCTAGAATAGTTTTAAATGCTTTGCTAAGCTAAATTTACTCCACCACTACTACACCAACTTACCCTCCAGCATCTGATTTTATTAGACCCCATCTATCACCCTTGACCTCTGACCTCTATATATTCTGCGACTTTTCATTGCTTTCATAAATGTTTCGCCCCTAGAGGGCGAAACATTTGCCAAAAAACCTAAATGCTGCAAGTATGTTTTTATTCTGAAGTCGTTAATGTATATCAGCAAGGGACTTAAAACTGATCCCTGTGGAAAGCCACTTGTGACTATTCCCCATTATGATTTCTCTGCATACAATGACTCCAGTCTAATAGAGAAGCTCTTAGTACCGAGTGCTGCTACTGTCTCCATCCTTTGTGGAACTTTATCAAGAACCTGATGCAGAGTTACCTATAATGGACACTTAAGTTTGATACAAAAATCCATAAACTGCACATTATAACGAAGAGTTAGGAGACAACCCACATTAAGCAATAAACGAGAAACACAACACGTAAACAAATTACTGTTTGTACTTCAAAGATTAATATTTGTATATCGAGACCTCGACTGTTGTGTATGCTAAGCAATATTATTATTATTTAATGTTTTGGAATATTTTTTTCCCAAGGCTTCACAATTTACCAACTTTCCTCTTTATATATACTGTGGTATTTACCCGTCAGTAATTTTTATTACTAAGACACACAATCATATGAGACGCCACAACATATTCGACGTAATATTTATTCCTGTCGAAATGACACCAAAGATTTATCTTCGAACAAATTAGTAACACTAAGCGCTGTGTTGTCATGAGAGTGACTGTTATGAGGAAGCTTCACTTCAGTGCTGATGTAACACTTCAGAAATGATCAGTTGACTCTTGTAACTTTAGCTGATATATGTATGCCAACAATGTAAATAAGACACTTGTGCCAACACTAGTAGAGTGCACGAGAGATATGAGTAAGATGTGTTGAACAGGTTAGGTTAGGTTAGGTTTGTCAGGAAACAGGACAAGTGTTTCCTGACGCGGGCCTTAGTCAGATGATGATCCGCCGTTGGAGCCTTTGGTCATCTGACCGAGGCCTTCAGCTGGCTTACCCGTCCACCCCTTTAAAAATGATAGTCATAGTTATAACCATTATTATTTTTATTTATGCACTGAACAGGTCATGTGACCTGTTCAATACATCTTACAGATGTCTTGCTGGGGTGGCACCAGGGTCACCAATACATCTTACAGATGTCTTGCTGGGGTGGCACCAGGGTCACCAATACATCTTACTGTTGTCTTGCTGGGGTGGCACCAGGGTCACCAATACATCTTACTGTTGTCTTGCTGGGGTGGCACCAGGGTCACCAATAGGCTTGAAATGTTGATGAAGCTACGGGATTTTTGTGCTACATTGCTGGAAATTATCAGTGTAGCCTCAAGGTAGCAGCTTTTCTGCAGGTGTTCCTTGTTTACAAGTCTGGTTTCTCTCCGCTTCATCAGATGATCATATGAAGTACGCTGAACCACAAATGCATTATGTCGTCCTGGTTATAGGTT